TACCTGACACATATATGTATTACCTGACACAAATACATACGTGCATCTAAACTTACTGCTCAGATTGTTATGGACATTTGTAAATTCTCCGGAACAATCTCACTTGACACGATGCTTACCAAGAAGAGCAGTCACAGCAACGAAACCTTCAGAAACAAAAAAAAACCCATTTGCTTTACAATGTTTCTTAGCTCAGCTAATCAGAAGCAGATTGTCACCGGGTCGAAAAACAAGTCTAGTCACGGTGTTGCGGCCGCACCGCTCTTTCATTAGCAGCTATTTAGTTTATATGTATATGTAATATAATATAATATAAACAACATCAATATATGTATATTTAATAAGATTCTTTGGGGATTAAATCTTAGATTTTACATTGTGAAAAGTGTCAAATATTTGCTATCATTTTTGTATTATGTTAATAACAAGTATATGCAAAATAAAATGACTTTAAAATTATTCCTTGTTTGTTGACAATGGCATTGCATGGATACGTTCATTACGGAATAGGGTTGAAGATTTTGATATTGTTTTCCCTGAACCATGATGTTGTTTTGATTACACTCTGTAAGAGAAGTCACCGGCTGAGGGAACTGAGATCCTGTCAATTCTCATACGACCATGTACCTCTATGAACTAACAGACTTTGAGATGAGGGTGACTGTAAATGTGTACTTGTAAATGCCATATTGCTTTGTCGTCATTATTGCTAGGGTTGTTACTGTGTAGCCTGTACTGTTTCTAATGAAATAGCTTAAGTAGTATTAATAAAATCTTTTTACTGTAGTAAGACTGTGTAATCGTTTTATTCAATTAATAAATTTATTTAAATACTTTTAGGCTTTTGTGTACAAACATTGTGGTAGGGGCGGAAAAACAGTTACCTGTACGTGTCTTTCCGTGCGTGCTTAGTACAAATATTTGGATAGATTTGTGATGATGTTGGAGTTTGCCGATGACATCAATATATCAAATTTATGAATGTTAGGATGAAGATAAAACTTTGTGGTAATGTATAGTTGTCTAAAGTGTACGCATGCTGGATACACTAACAGAAAATGGAATTCATTTTCAATGCCGTTCAGGTTACAATGTTTACATTTTCTTAAATTTCTTGGTGACTCCAACGCTGAATTTCCAGGTCATGACAACTTAAACTAAAACGAGAAAGAGCAATATTCTATTTGCTTTGTGTTATGAGTTTTGAAAGGTTTTCACAATTTAAAGAAACTTTAAATGTTGCATAATAGATCATTTCTGAACTTATGCAAATTGTTTCACTTAATCGAGTGGCGGGTGCTATCGGTAGGACAGGACATATGTTCACATTTCAATGAGAGCCTTTTGCATATATTTTTGTTGCTTGTTGGTTTTCAGTCTATTTCTTATGTCAAGTTTTTCTTTCGCGGAAAAGAGTTTAGATCTGCTAATCACCTATTAGTGGCATGAGTTTATAACATGGGTTTTCGTGCGTCCATTTTTAAACTTAGACTAAAACGTATGCATCTCGTAAGTTATTGAGTTAGGAACCTGCCAAAGATACAAATAGTTCATATTTGAAAGCGCTCTGATGTTTTTCCACTATGAATCTTAAATCAGATGATTATCTGAGATTGATGGTCAAGGTTATAATTGGTTTCTATTTCTTAATAATAATAATAAGTTTATTCATAATGGGCCTGATATTGAATCACAAAGTGGTTGCTCTTGGCTACATCTATACACATAGTGATAGTGACACTTAATCATGTGCAACGCTGGAAATGCGGTTCGACTTGAACAAATTTATAACCAGAGTGCAGACTTAAGTACAATAGATATACAACTCGACATTTCCGAAACAAGAAGGTGTAACTCACTAACACCATGTAGAGCAATGGAAACCCACACCTGCTCATGTTGTTTAAAACTGTAACCTAAATGTAACAAATATAAATAATGTAGATGTTCCCTCTTATTCGACATAAGGCAATTACAAATGACTGACGTCTTCAGTGCTAGTTTCAAACAAGGTAATGTGTTCCAAAACTTTACAATCTAAACTGACTGCCGTCATAAGTTAATATGCAAACCAATTATTTTCACGTCTATGTTTCATGAGAATAGACATGATGTTTGTCAGTTGGATTGTCTTATCAGATGTTTACGCACATATTTGAAAAACATTAAAGAGCGAAACAACATGACTGTTTCTAAGAGATAATATAACCATGTTACACCGATATGAGTGGTGTCTGCTGTTACATTTCTGTAAGCCCCGCCGCGTTTGTCCCTAAGTGAAGGACGTAGTAACAGGAACCTGTAGGCCGACCTCACCGCGGTCCCATAGTTTTTGTTTATCTCCATAAATTCTACTTGAAGATTGTTCACATGTAGTGCGAAGATATTTTACGGGTGTTTGGAGACTTTTATGTGATAAGGGTGAACTTGACCATATTATCAAGGTCATGGGGAGCATTGGCATTTCTGCTTCTCAGCAAGATGTCTGAATGTATTTAGCTTTTGATGCTTAGTTGGTCTTATCATTATCACAGTTAAACGTTAATAAGTCATATATTCCTTTACCAAACTTGATCATGACATAATATTTTACACCAACTCTTCACAACAAATCTACTTGCAAATATGTACTTAGGAATACTTTCGTGTCCCCCATAACAACTTCATTTGAGGACGGCTACTTCACACTAAACAGGGCTTACATGCAACATTAGTACTTAAATATCCTCGTATTTAGTATTGTAACCGGGGTTGTGTAGATATAAAGGGAACACAAGACACAGGCTACGGATGTGAGTCTTTATTACTTTGTCAATTGGTAGATAGACACCCTGAAACACATGTATAGAGAATAAATACTAGTTTAGGATACACATATCCCAGTATATAAATAAATACAACAAATTAACATCACAAACCATTTCAAGTACAAAACGAGTAATTCTAATATCGTTCCAAAGAAACATACGCAATAAAATATACTATACAGCAATAATGATATTTTCATCAACACATTTTAATTGGGGCAACCATCCAAGAACGATAACTCCAGGATAAGATAAACAGTTATCATTTGAGAAAATGATGACGAGCAACGGATTTATTTAAAATTACACTGTATAGTTTGGCAAGTAATAAGTGGTTACACAACATTTCCATAAACATCTATGTTAGCTTTATATAGTCTGGCCTTTAAGCAGCAATATAAACAAAACATTTGTCCAGCTTAGTTCGTTCCTTTTCCGAGTATATGAAGCTAAACACATCAGCCCCGGTTCGTTCCCCACCAAATGTCACCTACAGTGAAATATCTGGTCACATTCAGCATTAGGCATCATGTTAAAAAAGACAGCATTAAATATTGAAAAACATGGTCGGTTTTAATTACTGGATGGTTTAAAATACAAAAACAATCACAGCTGCCAATGAAAGCAAAACCGGGGGAACAACTGATTCTGATTTGGCGGTGAGGAACCTGAAGTGCTTCCCATATTTTGCATACTAACTCAACAACTAGCCCCTATATTGTCTCGACAATTTGTCTAAATGACTAAAACAGGCAATTGCGAATGATGTGATTCGGGTGGATGTGCAATTAAGATGTTTAAATGAACAACGGTCGGGTCACGGAACTGTGAGACGAATTGTTCACGTGACGAGGCTTCTGCTGCCTCTTGTTTGTCCGTCCCGGACGGATATTATTTCCACAGGTTCTATTATGTATTATGCAATGTTAATGTTAAGTATCTTATTCAGTTTGGCAAGCTATAAGTGTAGTTTGTAGTTCATGAATTGAGACTGAGCATCACATGAAACTATATTCTGAAACTATACTCTGCAAAAAAAATAATGCAAAAGTGATTTCGGGAAGTATATCTTCTATATCATATGAATAATTATGCAGATGGTAACCGATTTTTCAGAATTGGCGCACATCATTTTCCATATAGCACACATAGAACAGTAGATCTTAAGGTGAAGATCATCTGTGTCAGTATCACGTATGGCATACGGCCACGGTTAAGTATGGGTGTTCACGATGTCTTAATAGGCATTTACATGCCTTTACACGAAATTACATATTTTCTTAAGGATATAATAAAGTCATATTCTATATCTAGTTTTGATTGTTATTGTTCCTTTTTCATGTAATTCTCGGAATGAATATGACAATTCTTCTGATCTTCTGGGGGTATTTGTAAATGTAACGTGGTCGTATATGCACCTTGTATAAAATTACAACAATCTGCAACACGATACTGCATACAGAGCATATCATAACTATAGTTTTATACGATATGTTATGTATACAGTTATACACATAGTGTAATTTTATTGCGGATAATCCCCATCAAAACTTATTGTAAGTGTCAGTCAATATTTTACTGATCAGTCAGACATTGCATTACTTTCTTGATTAGTTTAAAATTCATAATGGATGATATCACTTGCAAATATATTCTATTGGTTTATCGCCATCATTTATTCTATCCATTATGATAGACTATTCGTTTATGCGAGTTGTGTCGAGGTGAAAGGGGGTCTAACTTCGCGTTTACGATTATAGCGACGTTCATGCTCGTGTGTGTGTGTGGATTTTCGTTCCAGGTCGGACTTAATCCGGTTTTATAGTGTCAACAGCCCACTGACATAGATAACAAGGATACTCGACTCAGACAGAGTATATCGATTCCGAGCCGACAAGCCCATGTTTTATCCTTTTAAAGTACTTTGATATATAACGGCCGGGATCAAAGCCGACCTTCCATCCTCCAAGCATCACCCACTGGGTACAGCTTGTGAAAGCATACATTTAGAACAAATCTTTGAGATGAATCTGCATACTGATAAAACAAATCTTTTTAGCGGCATATGTTGGATGTGTCTGCGCATTTGCTTAGCCTGCACTGTCGACACATGACATCTATATTAAATACACATATCCTTTATTAATGTCGTTTCTTATTATTCATCAGTTTCTTCCGTCTGTATTGCAACAGGTGCAACAGGTGCAACAGGAAGCCGACGAAAAAGGGCAACATCAGGTACGTGATGCATGGTATTACGTGTATGATCAGGCGAAAGTAGATGTCATGCCATTTCAATATAGGATTGAGGTTTAACAGAAAAGTTGCTGGAAATATCTTATTTATGCTTATACTTATGCGTATAAAAGGGTGAGTGAGTATGGTTTTGAGGCCGCTTTTAGCAATATTCAAGCAATATCACGGCGGGGGACACCAGAAATGGGCTTCACACATTGTACCCATGTCGGGAATCGAACCCGGTCTTCGGCGTGATGAGCGAACGCTTTAACCACTAGGCTACCCGACCACCCCTATTATATATTAGGGATTTCATTTGGATTTATACTTTGGTGAAACTAAATGGTAGGTTATGAACTTTAAAACAACCGACCAAAGACTTGTCGACTAAAAATCGGGGACATAAGAAACAACCCTAGTAGTTGATAGCATCGGCCTAGGACCCCTCAGATTTCTGGGACCACTCAGATTTCTGGGACCAAGATGGCGGCACATCCGTTTCCGGTCACGTGACCTGCGCAGTGCATGATGGGATACCTGCGCGCGTATGCAAGATGGCGTCACTTCCGTTTCCGGTGGCGCGCGCCTGCAAGATGGCGTCGCATCCGTGTCCGGTGGCGTGCGCATGCAAGATGGCGTCGCTTCCGTGTCCGGGGATGGGGGGGGGGGAAACCCGGAGAAGCGCCCGTACAAGGTGAACAGGATCGACATTGAAAGCAGCGCGTCAAAAATCTTTTGTGGTTGTGGTAGTTGTTGTTCTACACATAGACGTGGGGTGGTGGTGGTGAAGGGTGGGAGGGAGGGAGGGAGGGGGAGGGAGGGAGGGGGAGGGGAGGGGAGGGGAGAAGGAGGAGGCGTTCACGGTGTGGTGGGGGTTGGAGAGTCGTCAAAGCAAAGGAGGAAAAGCTGTCTTTCGGGAGAGATGGGTGGCCCTGAAAAGGGCCGTTGGAAAACAAACTGGAAACTGGAAACGACAGGGAACGGCAGGAACACTGGAACACTGGAACACTGGAACACTGGAAAAACTGCAAACGATGGGAAACGGGTAAAAACAGTAGGGGACAGCATGGCCCATGCGTTAGTCACTTTGTTCAGATGATATCACTTCTCCATCCTCTACTTCCATCTCATCCTCGGACGGAAGGTGTCGTCGGCGCTTTGAAACGTGTTTTCGTGAGGGGCTTCTGTCCCGTTTTCTTTTCTCTAGACGAGGTGTGATGCCTGCACGGAGTTGTGTGAGGCATTCTTTTAGGTCGAGGACATCGGAATGCATGTCTTCGATAAGATGAAGCACTTGTGCCACGGGTGTCACGGGTGCCACGGGTGCCATGGGTGTCACGGATGCCACGGGTGTCGACGTGGATGGTGTTGCTAACGTTTTCTTTCGACTGGGTTCTGGGCAATCTGCAGCGAAATGACCCAGGGCTCGACAGTTGTAACAGCGGTCCAGGCGATGGGGAGTCTTCTTTCGACTGGGTTCTGGGCAATCTGCAGCGAAATGACCCACGGCTTCACAGTTGTAACAGGGGCCCTGGTACTGCTTCTCCTGCTTCTCTTGACTGCTCATCTTCGGACAGACATAGTGACGGTGGCCTTGATCGTGACACTCGAGGCATGTCACTTCAGGGCAGTACAGGTAACTGTGACTGTCGGTCTGGCACTTCATACAACTGTATTTAGCTGGCATGATGGGTTTCATAGAATGCAGTGTGTGTGAATGGCTTCGCTCTTGTTTTGTTTTTATAGCAGAGGCACTGACACCCTGCTTCCTGATTGGTTCCCCAGGCAGCGCCCCCGATTGGTTCGTTCCGGGGCCGGGCCTGCACCTCGGTTTTCCAAAACGGACCGACCCCTGTGTTTCTTTTCCATAGGAAATGGATTTTACCATGGGAGAGAAAGCACAACCCCTGGTTCGTCCAATCAGAGTCACGCTTGGTCCGAGCGCCGTTTCTGATTGGTCGATAACCCAGGCTTCCGATTGGTCCGATTTCGATCCGGTTTTTATCGGGGTGTGCATTTCGATCCTGTTTTGTTTTTTTCTTCATCCTACAGACAACATAACACGATTTCAACTTTTTAAAACAAATTTAATCCCCCTGATCACATGAACCAACACCACAAAACAAAAGTCACAGGATGAGGGGGGACATCCCTGTGATTTTGTGAACACGAAGGGGTGACCACGAGGGTAGGAACGTCTGGCCACTTTGAAAAAATAAAGAAACTTTGTCACTTGGGGTGAACAAGACACTCGACTCTTCGTTTCCGTGCTTCTTGGGACACCAAACGTCTGTATTTTTCGTTCACTTCTCCATCAGGACAAAAAACGCACAAGTATTCGCAGGGGACTTTGGCGTGCTTCAGATGTTCTTTCCAGGGTTGGTCTGTGGCTTCCCATTGGCGGAGTGCCACACCGCAGCAATATAACAGGTCACACAGTCACCTCGTCCTGGATAGAAATAGCCAGCCATGGCCATGTCATAAGGGGTCTGGGTCATCTGTTGAGGCCACGTTTGAAAAGACCTCAGGCGTTCTTGAAATGAATCATAGTGGGGGTGAGAAGGATGACACAAGGTGTAAGAAGGAAAAGGTCCCTCCAGAATGTCACGGAGTCGCCATGTGTCGTCCATCAAGAGTGTGTCGTCCATCAAGAGTGGACGTTTTCTCGCTTCTTGTTCTCTCGCCTTTTCAGACACCCACTCGGAATCGGTGACGACATCTCGGGAGGATGACATGGTATTCATAGAACGTCTTTGCTCCATGATGACGGTGACTTCACTGAAAGAAGGTCTGAGGGTTCGCCTGCTTTTATGAAACTCTACACCCTACTCCCTTCAACGGAAGGTCATGACCTTAGCTTCCACCTCCTCCACCTCATGACGTGATGTCATCCTGTGTTTGGGTTGACGGACACACGGCATGATCCATGACATGATCCATGACATGACATGGCACACGGGGAGGGGTGTGGGGATGGATGCGTCCTGGAATAACTGGCACCAGGCAGCTGATCTTTCAAGCATGGCCTTTCTCTTTTTATTTTAATTTTACATTTTGGTGTGCACTGACAGACAGACAGACAGACAGACGGACAAACGACGTCCACGACATCTCAACTCAACCTCTACCCTCGGTTCGGCACTCTATCGGAGTTGAGATCCATCAAGACACAAAGAGTCAGTTCAATCAATCACTGTTTAATCATGAAAAAAACCAATCACAACCCGATACAATGGAAATACGAAAAGTCAATGGAGGAGGGAGTGCGCTATGTGTCACTATGCTGTCATAGGTCAACATACTACAAGTACAGTCTATGAGCTCCAGACCACAGGTATGACACATCACTTGCCCGCTGTTGCAACTGATGTATCTTAACATGTTGTTGTGTCGGCAAACACGACATTCGCGTTGTAGGGGAGTGAGTTGAGCTTCTCCATAAGGATCCGGGTCAACGTTGTCATGATCATCATCATCGTCGCAAACCATGGGCGTACCTGAGGAGTAGACATGAACCTCTTCCGGGGATGCTGGTGACCAAGAAGCCTCGAGCAGGGGGAGCGTGTCCAGATCCATGGAAGGGAGAGTGGCCAGCTTGAGCGCTTCATGATCATCGAGGTCACCCGTCGCCATCGTCACAGGGGCATTCGGTGAATAGGTGGGCTCCCGAGGGGTTTGTTCCCACCACTGTTCTAGCACGGACTGGGCTGAACTGACATCAGGGGTCCTGTCAATCATAGGACAGAGTCCATTTATGATAGGAATAGGTCATGAATATGAATCACATCAAGAATGACTGAGACAAAGAAGAGCAGGGTACTTACAGTTGTTCTTGAGGAGAGATCTTCAGAGATAATTTCTTCCGTGATCGTCTTTTTGCAGGCGTTGCAGGTGTGGCAGGTTTCAAAAAGGATGTCCCCATCGTTTCGATGTCTGTTGTCGCTGCAGCAATGGTTGCTGTGGCTGCTGTGGTGGTGGTGGGGACTGGCGCTGTGGTGGTGGTGGGTGTTGCCACTGCTGTGGGGGTCACCACGGCTGTGGGTTTGCTCGTCTTTTTCTTCTGGATCTTCTTTATCGTCTTCTTCGATGTGCCTTTCTCGGGTTCAGTCAGCTTCCTCATCTTTGAACGTATCTGTTCGCACATCAGTTTGTCGCCCTTCGCACGTAACTTGGCGTACGCGTCGTCGGTCTTCATCTTTAAACACAGAAAGTCGTACACTTCACCCCACAGTTCAGCAGTCATGTTCCCGTTCCCATCTCCACTGCTTCCTTGACCACTCATGTCGTTTCGTGTCTTGTCATTCAACCGTTTCGACATGATGTTGTCCGGATGTTCTGTTCGTCGTCGTTGTTGTTGTTGTTGTTTCTTTCCAAGTCTTCATGGAGGTGTGCCAACACTTGATGGTACTCTCTCCAAACACGTGTTTCTTCCAGATAAAACGCCAACAACCAACACAACGTAAGGAACATCAATCAGAGCGACGATGTTGTTGCTTGGTCCGTTCAGTGAAAAGTGATGACCGGAGAGCATCGGTCGTATTAAAAGCCCTCGAGGTCCTGCTTTCTGATTGGTCCGTTCCGCTGTCTGACTTTCACCTTGGTTTTCCAAACTGGACCGACCCTTGTGTTTCTTTTCCATAGGAAATGGATTTTACCATGGGAGAGAAAGCACAACCTCGGTTCGACCAATCAGAGGCCACCCTGGCACGAACACGGCCTCTGATAGGTCGACAACCCAGGCTTCGGATTGGTCAGATTTCGATCCGTTTTTTTCTGTAGGGGTCCACGTCGATTCAGTTTCGATCCGCTGTCATGAAAACATTTATAGAAAGTCGTCTCTGTACCCAAAGGGGAGCGTGTCTACAGGTAGCCCTGTGATGTCGTCGTAGACGAGACGTCGCTTGTCGTACACGGTACGATAGTCTTTTCGGGTGGGTCGGGTCACGAGTGCGTTTTCGTGCCGAGGTCCTTTTCGAATGATCTGATGAGGGTAATCCAAA